TAATAAGCCACGTCGGTCCATGACGCCAAATCGTGTTAGTCAAAAAATGCGACGGAGATTGACCTCGAGAAATGAAGTCAGCTGGATTTTCCGAGGATTTGACGTGTCGCCACGTAGTCACGCTTGTCCTCTCTTGAATCTCGGCAACACGATTCGCTACGAAAGTTTTAAGGGTGCAAGGTTCTTTGTTAAGCCAATTAAGAACGATTGCTGAATCTGTCCAAAAAACATTGCTGTCGACTTGACATGAACAAATTTGTCGAACGTTTGCATATAAATTTGCTAAAACTAGTGCTCCGCATAGTTCGAGTCTAGCGAGACTAATAGTCTTCAGTGGTGCAACGCGCGATTTTGCACACAATAATTACACCTTTATCTTGCCGGTTTCATCGATCGTTCGTAGGTAGATGCAGGCTCCGTAGGCGCGTTCGCTGGCATCACAGAAACCATGAAGTTCGTTCCTCACAACCGCACGCTGCGATACATTGCGTGGGAAAGACACTTTATCCAACGTGAGGAAATCCTGCATAAACGTTGTCCACTCTGTATGTAAATCATTGGGTAGCGATTCATCCCAATTCAACTCTAGCCGCCAGAGTTTTTGAATCAGGATTTTTGCTGTGATGATAACCGGTGCAAGCAAACCTAATGGGTCGAATATCTTCGAAATCGTTGATAGTATCGTACGTTTGGTGACCCTCGTATCGAAATTTGGATCTACCCTATATACTACGTCGTCGTTATGCGTGTCCCACGAAATTCCGAGCGTCTTAATCGAGGAATCGCCGAAGAATTTTGGATGGATTTGCTCCTTAGGAAGACCCGTCAAAAGTTGCGATTCGTTCGACGCCCATTTACGGATGTTTAGTCCTCCGCGTTTTAAAATGTCGATAATTTCGTTTCGTAAACGTAATGCTTGATCGAACATGTTAGCGCCAGTTAATAAGTCGTCGACGTATAAATCTCTCTTGAGTACATTCGCAGCGATCGGTGCATCCGATTTTTCGTCTTCGGCGAGTTGTTGCAAACATCGAATTGCCAAATATGGAGCTGACGATATCCCGAACGTGATCGTGTTCAGCTCGTATGTTTTAATGTAGCCGTCGTCATCGCGCCACAAAATCCTTTGATATCGACGATCTTTCGGTTGTACGTTGAACTGCCGATACATTTTTTCGATGTCTCCGGTGAGAACATAGGTATAAGTACGAAATCGTATAAGAAGTGCGAACAAATCATCCTGAATCGTGGGTCCCGTCATGAGAACGTCGTTTAATGATAATCCGCTGCTCGATTTCGCTGATGCATCGAAGACGACACGCACCCTTGTGGTGGTACTCGATGGCTTTATTACGGCATGGTGCGGCAGGTAGAAATTTCCCGTATCGTGCGACGCGTTCACCTCGCTCATATGCCCGCGATCCATGTATTCTTTAATTACGGCCGTATACTCGCGTTTCAGTTCCGGGTCGCGACTGAATTTTCGTTCGAGTGATAAATATCTCTTGAGAGCGCGCGATCGAGACTCTCCGAGATTCGATTTCCTTCCGTTGAAGGGTAAGGCGACGACGTAACGTCCCGAGTGATCTCGCCTGGTGTGATCTCTAAAATGATCTTCACAATCTTGCTCTTCTGATGATAGGTGACGTACCTGAGGACCTTCTTCTAACTCCCAAAATTTCTTTAAATCGAAATTCGGGGTCGAAAGAAAGGTTCGATGCCTCATTCGCGACGTTGAGGCAGGACGCTCCCCCCGATGACCCATCCAAATTGAGTCTTCTGAAGAATCAAATCCGGTTGATCAGGCGCAGAGAGGTTGAGTTGACCGATGCTCAAACTCGATAACGTAGGCCCGGCGCTTATGAGCATGTCAACTGGAGCTGGACGATGAAATTGCGGATCGGCTAATTTTATGTTTGCAGGTATCGGAATTTTGGCACGGTCGATCTGCTGGTTCGGATTAATTCCTGCGATTCGCGGTATGGTGAAGAATTTCAGCGTACGTTTGAAATTAGAAATTCTAGATTTAATTGTTGCCGAAACGACATTACTAACTTTTGTTTCTTCTTGATTTAAAACTTCTATCGTTGTCGTGCATGGTTCCGTCGGAAGTTGTAATTTCGCGGCTAAGTCTTCCGTTATAAAATTCGCGTTCGAACACGTGTCGATGAACGTGCGACACTCGATTGGTCTTAGCTCTCGATCAAAAACATGAACTATCGCGGTTGCCAAGATACCGTTTGTAAAACGATCGGCGGATGGTGCAATAGATTGTACCTCGCCGTTGAATTCAGCGACGTTCGGGTCCAGTCACAGTCTCGATTCCGCGTTTTCGACCCTTGTGTCCTGATGTAATTTAGTGTTATGCGGTTGATTACATACGCGGCATCTTCCAGCAATGCAGTTGTCGCTTTGATGTCCCGGGAGTAAACAATTCATGCACAGAGTAGCTTTACGCGCGACGTCGATTCGTTGTGCTACTGGCATTTCAAGAAATTTTCTGCATTGAAATTCCGCGTGTGATCCCGAATTACAAGCGATGCATGACGGTCTTCCGGTTGTTTTCGGTGTTTTCCAGTCCGATCGCTGTGAAAACGATGAATACCCAGTCGGTCTTCCTCGCCGATCCGATTTCGGTTGAGCCGTCTGAGCCGCCGTAGACGTCTTCGTAACGTACGTATTTACTCTCTGATGCGACTGCGATTGCAGAGAACGCGGACGGAAGTTATATGAACGCGTTTGAATCGGTCGCGGTTTCGCATTGCACTTGACGTTCGGTAAGTCGTGCTTCGCCGTCGAATTATATTCCTCCGTTTGATGGGATGCATTATGAAGATGTTTAAAAATATCTTCTATTTTTGGGACGTCCGTGTCCGAAAGTGTACGCTCCCAAGTTTTTCGCGTTTCTTCGCTCATTTTCGAGACTACGATGCTGGCAATGATATCATTCGCGATATTCTCCCAATTTCGACCGAGTGCTTGCAGTGACCTGATATGTAATTGTACGTGATTTACAAGATCTCGTACCGATTCAGACGAATTGTCGAGCATCGCTGGTGTATCGCGGAGTAGAGCAGCGTGACGTAATACGAGTGCGCGTTGGTTATCATACATTTCTGTCAAATGTTTCCAAGCCGCTGTGTAATTTTCGTCTGAGATGGTAAAGGCGCTGATCGCAGTTTCTGCTTTACCCGATAACGATAATCGTAAATATTGCAATTTTTGAATTTTACTCAATCCCGGTTGCAAATGAATTAAATTATTAAACGCGTCCTTGAACGTCAACCAATTTTCTATGCGTCCGTCGAATTTCGGTAAGTTCATTTTTGGTAAATGAACGGGCAATGAAAAGGACGATACAGTTTTTGGATTGCAATTCGCGCCGTTGCAATTCGTGGAGGTCGAAGGTTCCGAGATTTCCGTACGTTTCGTAGGACTCGCGAATCGATTGAGCATTACGGTAGCTTTAGCCATCACGTCATCGTATACGTCGGTGGTGGTGTTACGCTCGTTCTCGGCCTCGTCGTAATCCTCAATATTACCGAGTTCGTCTTGGATTTTGTTAAAAACTTCAAATTGATTACGTATTCTTACTGATCTATCCGCGAGTTTAACTCGTTCCGTTTCGCTGTCGTTAAACGCGTCTAAGTAAGTATTGAACATGGTGAGTTGACTCTTGAATGTCCGTCGCTTCAGTTTCAAATCTTTTTTCCTTGCCTCCGTACTTCCGGAAGCGTTGGTGTTCGCGTCTTTTACCACGGACATGATGTTATATCGAGATGAACCAGGAAGGATACGAAAGAAGTAATCGGCAGTTTCTTATTGTAAACGAGCCTACCTTTGATGGAGCCGAATCCAGGAGCCGTCTCAATTTCAAATCTTTTTTCCTTGCCTCCGTACTTCCGGAAGCGTTGGGGTTCGCGTCTTTTACCACGGACATGATGTTATATCGAGATGAACCAGGAAGGATACGAAAAGAGCAATCGGCAGTTTCTTATTGTAAACGAGCCTACCTTTGATGGAGCCGAATCCAGGAGCCGTCTCAGGTCCGGATGTCTTCGATGTCTTGTTGGTGCTCGTTGCAGATCGTTGTCGATCGTCGTCGACCGTCGTCGACCGTCGCTGACTGTTGATCACCCGTTGATGACGTTCCTTTCCTCCAATCGTGGATTGGCTGCCCAGCTTCCAAGTCTCGATCCCTTGGTTGAGCCTCGAACGAATGGGCGTCTTCTCACGGTTTTTTTTTTGTTGGATAGCTCGGTGGAATATAGTTTTCGCACGCACTGAACACCCACAGTTCACTATCCGGCTCGAAGGACCAAAAATGTCGCGTCGCGAATTGTTTCGGTATCGATCTTACGGTTGTAAGCCGTATTCGCGACTTCGCTGTGTCACTCGCCAATTTAATTTTAAGTAACTGTTTCAACTTCTGGTTGCTGAAGGAGTCCGTTCGATGACTCTCGTAATTCAGCTAAGGAGTCCGTTCGCTGACTCTATTAATTCTCTGATGGAGTCCGTTCGTTGACTCGGTTGATTCTCTCCGTTCGACGACTCGATTAAATCTCCTGGAGTCCCGGGGTTATAAATGTCGCGTCACGAATTGTTTCGTTATCGATCTTACGGTTGTAAGCCGTATTCGCGACTTCGCTGCGTTACTCG